ATATCATCTGAACGATTCCCGTTAGGTTATCGAAATGTAGAACATTCTAGTGATAATCATGATGGACTTGTCAGAGGAGTTGAAATGCTGATCTTTGGAGGATCTCATCCTTACGGTTGGATAGCTTAAGCAGCTTGATATTTTTGAGAGTATCAGTAAACTCCTCAAGCTCGAATGGAGGTAGTATCATTGAGTTTGGAGGAAGACTCTCCGAGCTGGTACAATTATGATATCGAACATAGATCATTTGTTGATTGGCATGAGTTTAAGAGGTGGATGTTTTCTCGTTTTTCTGAGAGTTATGAGAACATTCCTAGCAAAAGGCTGTTCAGCATCCATCAGACAGGCTCAATTGTGCGTATGTGAAAGAGTTTCAAGAGTTAGATTCACAAGTGAAGGTAGATAAAGCACACTTGGTGGATGTATTTTTTAATGGTTTGTAGAAAGAGATGAAGGAAGTGATTAAGTGGAGGAACCAGTGGCTCTTCCTAACCATATTACAGCTGTGATATGAAAGATAGTGAACTTTGTAGAATGCTTTCAACAGCTGCAACAAACAATCATGTTGCGTCCAAAAAAGGCTGTAAGTGTGACATCTCAGCATGCTTCCGTAGAAAATACTGATCAGTGTAGGAAGCAACAAAGTGAGACAGATAGACCACCCACAACGGTTAAGCCATCTCTTAAACCTTCGGATTGCTGAATATGAATATAAGAAGAAAAACAATAGTTTTTTTATATGTGATGAGAAGTGGTCAACATCACATGTTTGCAAGAACAAGGAACTGAAGTTCATGGTGTTTGTACGCGGAGTTGAACTGGAGGTTATGGATGAGTTTTTGGATTTAATTGAGGATCCATCCGAGTTGATCATGGAAGGGATGAAGTTGTTATTGTACTCTTTTCTTGGGATGTCTTCGCCTACCACTACGAAGAAGAAAGGGGTGATTGGCAAGACAAGTGTAGTGGTGATGATAGTGGGGCAACCCATAATTTCATCTCACCAGTCATTGTGGAGAAGGAAAAGTTACCACATAAATGGCATTTCAATCTATATGTTTTGCTGGGTACTGGACCGTGCAGAGTATTGAAGTTTGCAGGAAAATTCCATTGATGATCCAATCAGTAGAAATGTTAAATGATTTCATTGTGTTTGAACCAAGATGTGTTGATGTTATATTGGGAGTGCAATGGTGAAGGATGCTGCGTCGTTGTGAGATTAATTAGGAGACTCATGAATGGAGTTTTGTACTTAATATGAAGCTGGTAATGGTTGAAGGGTGATTCAGATTTAGCTGTGGAGAGCAAAGGAACTGATTTTCTTACAGCTGAACTGGAGTTGTTAAATTGAGAGGTTTAGAACAAGGGAAATGAGATCATTAGATCTCAAGTATTAGAAGATTTGTTGCTAAAACTTAAGAAGGTATTTGCAGAGCCTACTGAATTTCCCCAGGTACGAGGCTATGAGAAATCCATACACTTTGAGCATGATCAGGGACCTATTAAATTTCATCCTTGCAGGTACATGCATCCTCACCAGGAAGCTAATAAGAGAGAGTTAAAGCCCATTTTTTAGTTTGGTTTTACTATTCAAGAACAGAGAGGTTCAGAAGAACGGAAATGAGATCATTATACCGTAAGTATTAGAAGAGTTGTTTCTAAAATTTTAGAAGGTATTTGGATAGCCTACTGAGTTACCTCCGGTACGAGGCTATGAGTATTCCATACGCTTTGAGCATGGTCAGGGACCTATTAAAGTCCATCCTTACAGGTACTTGCATGCTCACATGGAAGCTATTGGGAAGTTAGTGATACAAATGATGCAAACATGGAGCATAAGAGATAGTAGAGCCCATATTCTAGTCCGGTTCTGCTAGTTAAGAAGAAGGACTTATCGTTTCTGTGTGGATTATAGAGCCATTAATAGAGCTACAATTCTAGATATGTTCTCTATTCCAGTCATTGATCAGTTGCTGGATGAACTCAATGTTGCAAGGGTGTTTTCTAAAATGGACTCGAGATCGAGATATCATCAAATACGTATGGTTGAACAAGATGTGGAGAAAACAACATTTAGGACTCATGTAGGACACTATAAGTTCTATGTGATGCAATTTTGCTTAACAAACGTCCAGACATGTTTCAATCCTTGATGAATGCCATTTTCAGGGTATGTTGCGGAAGTTTGTACTTATTTTATTTGATGATATATTGGTATACAGCATGTCAATTGAAGAGCACAAAGAGCGTTTACAAGTTGTGTTGAGTATTTTGGAACAACATAAGCTCTTTACCAATCGCAAGAAGTGTTTGTTTGGTCAATCTAGAGTGGAGTATATGAGTCATACCATATCAGCTGAGGGGATATCTACAGATACATCTAAGACTGAAGAAATTCAGAATTGGCCACACCAACAACAGTGAAACCATTACGGGGATTTTTGGGTCTTACATGTTATTACTGACGCTATGCGAAGGGATATGGAGTTATAGATAGGCTATTAACAGAATTGCTTAAAAAGGACAGCTTTGATTTGGGTCTATTGGCTTAGGAGTCATATTAGTGTCTTAAAAAGCAACGATGTCAGCTCTTATTTTGGCTCTACCAGACTTTAATGAGGTATTTATAGTAGATACTGATGATTCGTAGTATGGTTTGGGAGTGATGCTATTACAGTAGAAACGTCCTATAGCATTTTTCAGTAGAGGATTGTCGGCTTAAGAGAAACTTAAACTGATTTATGAATGTGAGTTAATGGCTATAGTGATGTCAGCGCAGAAGTGGAAACACTATCTAATGGGAAGAAGGTTTAAAGTCATTACAGATAAGAAAAGCTTATAATTTTTGTTGGAGCAACGAGATGTTTCTATGGATTATCAAAGATGCTTAGTTGTTAGGTTATGATTTTGAGATCATTTATCGGATTGGGTCTGGGAACAATATAGCAGAAAGCCTCTCAAGAATACTACATTCACCTGAAACAATTCAAATGATGATGTTTCAAGATTTAACTCTCACTACAAAATTTACAGATGAAGGATATACTAGATGAGGTGGAAAACAATGAGGGGTTAAACAGATTGGTTAAAGAAGTGTTGCAAAATAAAGGGTTTAAGAAGACTTATTCAGTAGTGAGAGGGCAATTGTTCTACAAAGATTGCTTGTTCTACCTCAGTCTTCAAAACTTAGTCCAATCATTCTTCATGAGTTCCATGCTAATGTGATTGGGTGACACTCAGGTGTGTTGAAGACTATCAAGCTGATACAGAGGCTATTTCATTGGAGCAACTTGAAGCGAGATGTTCATACATATGTAGCAGAGTGTCAAGTGTGTCAAACCCAAAAATACTCTACACTGAACCCAGCTGGTCTTTTGAATCCTCTCCATATTCCCAATCAGATATGAGAAGAGATTTCAATGGATTTTAGTGAAGGTTTTCTGAAATCTAGAGGGTTCAATGTTATTTTTATTGTCGTATATCATTTAAGCAAGTATGTCCATTTCTTATACGTGAAACATCCTTATACAACAACCACTGTGACTGAAAAGTTTGTGCAGGAAGTTGTGAGGCTGCATGGGTATCCTAAGTTCATTTTATATGATAGGGACCTAGTGTTCTTAAGCAGTTTTTGGAGAGACTGTTTTCGGTTGGCTGGTACTTCCTTGAAGTTTAGTATAGCAAACAATCCTCAGACGGATGGCCAAACGGAAGTGTTAAACAAATGTCTGGAGTTTTACTTGCGTTGTTTCGCTTCTCCTCATCTAAGTTGTGGCAGAGATACTTTGCATTGGCTGAGTTCTGGTATAACTCCTCATATCATACTTCTCTTAAGACGTCTCTGTAGGTTGGTCTATGGCAGAGAACCAGTGTTAAGAGGACGAGACAGGATATTAAATGAGACAAAGGGCCATTTTATCAAGACTTAAGATGTGATGAAGAATAATGCGGATAAGCACCGCAGAGATTTGAAGTTTGAGGTGGGAGCTTTGGTATTTTTGAAACTGTGTCTATGTAGACATAACTTACTGGCTAGGAGGTTTTGTCAAAAGTTAGCCGTGTGGTTCTGTGGACCAGCAGCTTATCGTCTCAAGCTTCACTTGGATTGTAAAATTCATCATGTATTGCTTGTCTCTCAGTTGAAACCAGTTTTGGGGAAAGACCATGCGGTACATCCTTTACTGGTACTGCTTTCTAACATGGAATAATTGATTATCATATCAGAGTATGTGATTATTACGTGCTATGATGTTGAGGAACGTCTGAAAGCGTTGATTCAGTGGAAAAGACTCATTGGTTATGAGTAGGACTGGGACTTAATATCCGCTATCTGCTATCTGATCTGGGATCCACTCCGATCCGCTCAGAAAAATAGATATCCGGGCGGTCTGGATCCGGATAGTGATTTACGGATCCGAATTCGGATAGTGAAATTTTTAGTCCAGATATCCGAATTCGAATTAGGGCCCACTAAATATATTTAGTCCAGATATCCGGATTCGGATATCCGATCCGTCCCACCCCTAATTATGAGTAATCATGGTTGAGAGTAAAGGATTTAGTTTTGCAGTAGCTTGAGAGTAAGTTTGGTCTTGATGAGGAGAGGGGATGGGGTTATTGATAGATCCTGAAAAACATACTATCGAAGAAAGTTAGAGGAATTAATAGAAAAAGGATGTAAGAGGAAATGACGTGGCAGAGAATCAGTTGGTTGAAAAAAATTGATGACTGGATATGAAAATAATGTAAATAATAGTCAATTTGTTTCGAAATATTTTGTAAAGTATGTTAGAGGGGAAACTAGAATCAAGAGAGCTTGTTCTCTATGATTTGGCTCAGCTCGATAAAAAATGTTCTCGAGTTTGTAATTCTCTTTGATAATCATATACACTATTGCTTATCAGTCTTACCCGAAATTTAGGAGTAGCAACCTCTAGAAAACAAAAAGAGCAGGTATTACGTAGGACTTCTCAAAACTAAAACGAAAGATACTAAAGAATATTATGTATTTCTTCATAGTACAATCTACAATGAAAAACAGAGAAATCATTATTTCACCACCACTAGTGTTTCAAGTTCAATAATAGAGCTCGACGAAGGTGGATAAAAGAGCAGAGTGGTATAGTAAGTGACTGGTGTCTGAGCATACAAAACAGCATAGAAAACACTGCCAAGTGTCTGTGTAATCAAATGTGGAAGATATGTCTGTCTAGAAGATGTAGTAAACCTATAGACAAACTCTTAAGATATCAATGAAAATTGCATTGTTGCATTAAAGGGTGACTGTAATCAACGTACTTCTCCCACAAAGGTTTGTACTTCTCCATCCCGATCTTCAACCACGGCTTTAAATTCCCATTGAAGTGAAGAACAGCTCCCTTGTCTATCACACGAGCATCCACATTGGCGTATCCCAATCCCAGGACATGCCACGATGACTCTAGTGCCTCTGTTAACCCGTAAAATGTCAGAAGCCCTGGAGGCAGTGTCCCAAGTTTCCACAAAGTCCGGTCTACATTTTTTTCTTGCCAGTAGTGGTATATCCCGGTCACATTTCTCTTCCTCCACTCAACTAAATCAAAGACGTTCATCCCAAAGGCCCAGCCGCACGCATCTGGATCAAAGTGGGAGCGAATTAGTGGATGGGAATAGTTCAAGTATTTGTGGTACCGGTGGAACGTCTCCATGCATGTCTCAACAGCCCCGTTCACGTTTCTGTTCAAATCGATCGAAAAGAGAGCAGAAAGGTCCTTCTGTACCACAACATCATCATCAAGAAAAACCATCTTCTTCAGCGTAGGAAACACTTCAGGGATGTAAAATCTGAGATGATTGAGCATGGAGAGATACTTGGGATTTCTGAACTTGATCGGTGTGCGCCCATCGTCGTTGTGTCCAGAGAAATAGTAGCTTTGAGTATCAGAGTCTTGCAGCTGCTTGAGTACCGGAACATAAGAAGCATTAAGCCATTTGAAATCCTCAAACTTCTGAACCTCAACAGTGACACCTCTGAGGTTGTCCATGTTCATAGCAAACCATGCCTTCATTGCCGCATAGTTAATCTCGTTAGTGACAAGATGAAAGACGACTTTCTCAGGGGCCTTGGTGTTGAGAGCAGTGGAATTCACCACAACTGAAGTAGCAACAATGTTATCAGAAAACACACAGAAATGGTAGAGACTGTTATCCGTGAGCTTAGAAGCCACAGCATAGCTTCTCTCCGTGAGCTTCCCTTGTAACTCAGAGTTCTGAAACCACTCGGTAGTGAGTCGAACACCAAGGCAGTAGAGACTCTTGGGCACTTCCTCAGCAGCAATCTGAGCATACTTGGCGCTCTTCTCAGTGACAGAACTCATCTGTCCTTCCAAAGACTGAATAGTAGCCTTGAGCCTCATGATCATAGTGGCACTGTCGTAATGAAGCTGTTGGGCTTGGTAAAGCAAGACAGCCATGTCGCGGATAGTGGGTTCAGAGTCCAGTACCGTCAAAGGACGCCTGGAAGCAACAGCAGTGGAGAGAAGTAGCTGAGAATTGCGGATCTGAGCACTAAGGTCCCAAGCGAACTGAAGGTTTTTACTTTCTTTAGCAATGACAACAAAGGCTTTAGCGAGAGCAATCTGGTCGTTAACTTGACGAGCAAAGGAAGTTGGGCTCAACATTTCTTCCGTCATGTTCATGCCTTCTACAAGCTTTTCGTGACGGTAACGCCGCTGGTAACAAGAAAGGTTCTAAATTTAAACTAAATAAGACGATGAAGAAGAGGGGAGAGAGAGAGAAGAAGAGATATATATAACCTCTGGAATGGAGGGTCTTGGTTCGATTTGAGTAGCTTTGGAGAGAATGAGGATGAAGAGGGTGACTACAATCGCAGAGAGAACCCACCAGACGACGTTCGAGATCTTCCTCCGCCCTCCTGCCCTCCGGAAATCCAACCCTCTCCTCCTATTCATAGTGATTTTGAAACCCTAAACCCAGCCGGAGCTCAGATCTGATTTGATTTAATGTCGAGTGAATGCTATCAATTCAATTCCGATCTGGGAGCCCAGCAGCCATCTTCTTTCTCGCCCCTCTTCGCTGGAGAAGAAAATAAAAATAAAAATAAAAATAAAAATAAAGTTAAAAATAAGAGGAAACGACATACCTATTCTCGTTTCTAATTAACTAGGATAAGTGGGCAAAGTGAGTGCATGTTATAAAATTTTAGTATTGTCAAATTTAAAATTTATATAATTTTGTATATATTTCGAATTTTGAAATTTTTATATAATCATTTATGTGTAGGATCATAAAAATTGTAGTTAGAATTATAGATTAAAACGTAGAATTTAATGTGAAGATTCATATATCAAGTAAACGGATTGTTACATGGCTTAATTGGTAGAGTAATGGAAAATAAACGGATTGTTACATGGCTTAATTGGTAGAGCATTATCAAGTTCACCAATGTTTTTTTAAGAAGTAATTGGTAAAATATTTGTATTTAAAATATATAAACTTTCAAAACTAATTTAATTTTATTTATTTGTCTAACAATATCAGAAAATTATTATTTTTAATTGTTTTTAAATAAGAAATTCTTTTATAAAAATAAGTTAAATTTAAAATTATAATTATGTTTAAAATAAAATTCTTATTCATACGATATGAGATATATATATATATATATATATATATATATATATATATGATCATAAACACCTATTAAAATAATTTATTTATTCATATAATTTTATATTCATTGTAACTAATTATAGAAAAACAATTTTAGATCTTGATAACCAAATCTTATGTGAGATTTTTAACAGTTTTAGTAATTTATAATCGTTTTGAAAATTTCAAAATACAACACACATAAAAAATCTAAATTTTTATTACATGATTACTGTAGTTGTGTAATTTATTTTAATCATATAAAAATTAAACAAAAAATGATATAAAGTATAAAATTGTTACCAAATCTTTATTATTTAAAATTTTTTATTATTTAAAATAATTAATACTCATGTATATCTTAATCACATTAGATAATTCTGTATACGTTCTATTTAAATAAAGAAGGAAAATTGTTACGCAGCTACACGAACTATACAACATCACATGGTCAACCATCCAAAGTAAAAAAATGTGGAGAAACCTACACGAAGTATATGTCGCACATAACGACATGTGATGATTAGCAAATAATTATGTGTTTAACATAACAAACTCATTTAACCTTGTCGGAACAAGGTTAATTCCGTCGGAATACGGTTATGTGAACCAAAGCCGACAAACCAAATTGAAATCGTGAATCAAAGCCGACGAACCAAATTAAAATCGAACCCGGTTTTAAAAAAAAAACGAAATAAATCAAAGCTACTCTATCTTCTCGACGACCTCATCTTTCTCCCTTTGTTCAAATTAGGGTTCGTGAGAGAGAGAGAAAGAAGATTATTTAAGTGTAAAACAAGTTGATTGGGCGAAGAGAAAAGGAAATCGGTGAAGAATTTAGTGGAGATGAGGTATTTCTTTGGATTTCTTTCAGTTTAAATGGTTGATTTCTGGGTTTACACACATGTCGTTTTGAGGTTCTAAAGTCTCGTTGTTCTTTCTGATGTAGTGTCTCAGTGAAAGTGAAATGCTTTCACTCTGGTCGGTTTAAAGATGAAGTGGGATTGTGTTATGTAGATGGAGCTGTCGACGAGTTTGAGTTGGATTCGGAATCTCTCTTCACAAACTTGGTAATGAATATTTTTGAGAAAAGGATTGTGATTGGAAAGTTGAGGTTCAAGCTACCATTCCATGAGATAAGAGAGAGGAAACCTTTATGGGAAAATGTCAAGGTCAATAAGAAGAGAATGGAATGTGGAGGTCGTTGGTACAAGGAGCTCAAAATATATGTAGAAAGAGATAGGGATGCTGGCGCTGAAGAAGAGAGTAGGAATGTTGGACCAGAAGAATATGCTGAGACGGGTTTGATGTTAGATGAAGATGAGGCGGCAGACACTTTGTATGATCCTCTTGCAGAAGAATCTGATGATGGGAAGTGTTCAGAAGATGCTTTATCAGAGTCATCAGAATCGAGTGATGAGGCGGAAGTTGTTGAAGATGATATAGTAGACCTTGACAATGTGAACTATGAGGAACAGATACCAGACGAAGATGAGGTGTACCCTGCTACAGACGATTCATCTGGTGATGAAGAAGAACAAGCTGAGAGATTGGTGCGAAGGGGTTTATCTGATGGAGTTTTCAGCTTGAGACAGGTCTTCAGCAGTGGGACAGAATTTAAGAAGAATGTCATAAGGTACATCTTGAAGACTAGGCGTAATGTGGTATTTGATAGATGGGAGAAAACTAAGCTTGGTACAAAGTGTGATGAAAAAATATTGTGGATGGAGGATATATTGCTCTGTTGAAGAGCCGATTGGCAAATGGATGGTTAAGGTATATGAAGATGAGCATCAATGTCATCATGTGGGGCGGTGCAAGCTAATCAAGAGCCCTGTTGTTGCTGATTTGTTTCTTGAAGACATAAGACGAGATCCAGAGATGAGTGCACCGGAGATTAAGGATGAAATGAAAAGGAGATACAACATTATCATCTCGCCTGCTCAGTCACAAGTTGCTAGAAGACTGATTTTTGATAAGTTGCAAGCTGAAAGTGATGAACAATTTGCAAGACTTAGAGATTATGAGCATGAAATCAAGAGGACCAACAAAAACGCTACTAGGGAAATTAACACAACTCGTAGAGAAGATGGGAGTGAAGCATTTTCACAAATTTACTTATGCTTTTCAGCTCTAAAGACTTCATGGAAACATCACTGCAGACCTGTTATTGGTTTGGATGGTACGTTTCTGAAACACTCGATGCAGGGAATGATATTAACTGCTATTGGAAGGGACCCTAATAACCAGATATAGCCGATCGCATGGGCTGTTGTTTCTGCTGAAAATAATGATAATTGGGAGTGGTTTATCCACAAAGTCAAGGTCGACTTGGACTTGGGTGAAGGTGAGGAGATCGCAATAATATCTGATATGCACAGAAGTTTGATTCATGGTGTTGCTACTTACCTTTAATCATTCCTCGGATCCTGATGGCAGGATAATACTAATCTGGAAGCACCCTGCCAGTGTAACTACTCTTCATCAATCTCGCCAATCACTAACGTGTGAAATCAACCTGACCGGAGCTCACAGATTCATTTTCACGGCTATCTACGCTTCCAATGAGGCCTCTGATCGTGCTGATCTTTGGGTCTCCTGAATATTCATCAGCTTCTTCATCTTGATGATAATCTTTGGGTGGTGGGAGGTGATTTTAATCAGATCATTCATCTTGCTGAACACTCAAACCCCCTGGTTAACCACATGGACCCCCCCAATAACAGATTTAGGAATACTCTTTCTTAACTTGGCCTGTTTGATCTGCGTTATCTTGGTCTTTGCTTTACCTGGAGCAACAAGTCACCTTCTCAGCCAATCGCAAAGAAATTCGATTGATACTTAGTGAACCACTCTTGGATTACTTCTTACCCTCATAGCCTTTCCTCTTTTATAGCCCCTGAAATATCAGACCATTGCCCTGCTATCCTTAACCTAGCTATTGATCTTCCTAGAGCCGGTACAAAATATTTTAAATTCTACAACTATCTCACCAAACACCCGGACTTCTGCCAGTTGGTTGGTGAACCATGGAATCAGCTCGGCTGCGCTGGAATGGACCTCTCCCATCTCTGTTGGAACCTAAAACAGATAAAAAGAGTGTTGAAAAATAAACAGAGAAAACTATTCAAATATTCAAGAGAGGGTTTGAAATACTAACATGTTGCTTCAACTTGCGCAAGTCAAAGCTTTGCAGGATCCCTCTCCTTCTACCTTCCTGGAGGAACAAACTCTCATGAAAAAATACTCATTTCTACGTTCTATAGAGGAGAGCTATTTCAGACAGAGATCACGTATAACATGGTTAAAAGAGGGAGACCAAAACACTACGTTTTTCCATTGGCTTACCCAAGTGCGAAACTCCTACAACTCTATCATGTATTTCTATCTTGCAAATGGCAGTATTATTTCTGACCCTATTGCAATGGCCAATTGGCGGTCTCTCATTTCAAGAACATCCTGGCGACGCAAATCCCTCCTACTTCTGCATCCTCTATCCAATGGTACCATAGTCACGGAATCTAGGCCTTCTCTACCAATCCCCGAAGCATTATCCATAGAGCCTCCAAATGAAGAAATTAAGACTACCATGTTTAGGCTGAATACAAACAAAGCTCCTGGGCCAGATGGTCTTACCTCGGGGGTTTTTGAAGCAGCTTGTCCGTTTGTAGGGGTCACCTTCCTCCCTCCACCAACGCTACAATCCTGTCTCTAGTCCCTAAACACCCTGGAGGCTCCACTCTAAATGACTACTGGCCTATCTCCTGCTGTAACACCATCTATAAACTCATCTCTAAGCTGCTGGTAAAGCGTCATAAACCACTACTCCCTTTTCTCATCCTCCCTAACCAAACTGCGTTTATCCAAGGATGAATATTGGTTGAAAACACAATCCTAGCTTCTGAGATTGTTCATGGGTATCATAGAGACAAGGGTCCAAGTAGAATCACCTTGAAAGTTGACATTGCTAAAGCCTTCGATACTGTGAAATGGGCCTTCATATTCAACTGCCTCCAGGGAATAGGTTTGCCGTCTAAGCTCATCCACTGGATCCATGCGTGTCACTTCCCCCAGCTTTATGATTGGATTCAACGGCACATGGTAGGGGTACTTTAAGAGCAATAGAGGACTGAGACAAGGCAATCCGATCTCCTATTTGTTAATGCGATGAACTTCTTATCAATGCTATTAGACTAAGCGGCAGAAGAAGGAAAATTTGGCTATCACTATGCGTGCAAAGAAAGTAAACTGACTCACCTTTGTTTTGCAGATGATTCACTAACTTTCTGTGATGGTTTGCTGCATTCAGTACAAGGTGTCCTCGACGTCCTTAACAACTTCAAGGAACTATCAGGATTAACAATGAGCATCTCCAAAACCTGCTTCTTTGCCAGTGGGGTCATCCATCCTGAAA